ATGACTCTCAAAAATTGCTGCCTGTGAGGATCACTTCCTGTTGCCTAACAGCAGGGACAGTTCTGACTGAGAGCCAAATCCCCAGGTATGCAAACAATCCATCCATGTGGACACTTCACTTGTCTGTGTTGAGCTTTATTCATATTTCTGTATCTCCTACAATTTTCCTCCCAAATGTCCAACGTAATTTCCAAAAGCTTTTATATAAAAGGAAATTGTATAAAGGGTGTAAAGGGACGTGGTGGCGCTGCGGGTTAAACCGCAGAAGCCTCTGTGCTGCAAGGTCAGAAGACCTGCAGTCGTAAGATCGAAGCCACGCGACGGAGTGAGCCCCCTCGCTTGTCCCAGCTCCCGCCAACCTAGCGGTTTGAAAACATGCAAAATGCAGAAATGCGAGTAGATAAATAGGTACCATCATGGTGGGAAGGTAACGGTGTTCTGTGTCTAATCACGCTGGCCACGTGACCATGGAAATTGTCTTCGGACAAACGCTGGCTCCATGGCTTAGAAACGGGGATGAGCACCGCGCCCTAGAGTCGAACACGACTGGACAAATTGTCAAGGGGAACCCTTACCTTTACCTATGAAGGGTTATGCAAATAAAGGCAATCATAAATGCCTAATTGCAGAGTCTAGAAAGTTTACTCTTTTTTTTAACTATAACTCCCACAATCCCCCAGCTATCCTATTTCCCCTTAGTCTTCTTTTCTTAAGGCTAAACACACCCTGTTCTTTCAGTCTTTCCTCATAGGGCTTGGTTTCCAGTTCCTGAATCATCCTTGTTGCCCTCCTCTGAACTGGTCCCAGTTTGTTGATATTCTTTGTAAAAGTGTGGTGTCCAGAAGTGGGCACAGTACTTAAGAGGAGGCCTAACCTCTGCTGAATGGAACCAATAAGTGGCAAGGAGATGTAACAGCGCTAAGAGCCAGCAGGAAATCACTCACAGCTCTGTATCAGGCCAGAGGAGGAATGAATACAGTTCTTAGATCCAGATCAGAAATCCAGTCCACATTTTGCCCTATCCTGTTAGGAAAAAAATCCAGCTCTGAGCCTGTGCCAAGCCAGCAAAGCCAAACCCAGCCTCCCATTTGGAGCACTTACTCACCTGGGAGAAATGGAAGAAAACAGAAGGAATTCCACAGACCGCAAACTTGCCACCAAGAAAAACAGGGGTAGGCCTGCCCACTTGGCTGAAGCTCTATTGCCTTCACAAGAAGCCTTCACAACAAGAAGGAATGTAGCAGGCAGCAAGTCTCAACCTGTCGTCTACAATGCATCTCTGATGTTTTTATTTGGCACGTACATACCGAGTGTGGGTACATGTGCTTATACACAGGAGTGTAGAAGAACCAGTAAAACACCACAATCTTTTGAACAGCAGGACTTGTGGCATCACCTAACACATACCCACAAGCTTCTATTTTATTTCTTAACTTTGCTGAAATGCTTCACGTAGGTAGTGGTCAGTGAAGACTGAAAATTCTCAACAACAATGAACGTTGAACTGGAAGTAAACATGCCATGAACTGTGAGCTGGAAAACTAAACATCCCTGTAGAGAGTGAAAGCGTTCTGCCCTTAACAAGTGTGTTGGGTGCATGAGACAACAACCATCTGGCCTTCTTTGTGGTTGATTACTGTCTTTTTATCCATGCCTGGCTCTAGGTTCTGTGAGGCCTGAACAAGAGAACTGCAGTGGACTGCCGTTGCTCATATAGACAAACATCCTTAGAAGACAGCTCTTCCCAACATAGCCACAAGTTCCTCATCTCTGGGCTAAAGCAAGACTGCATGCAAAGTGCAAACACAATGGCAGAATATAAAGCAAGCATATTGCCATTTTTGTTTAGACAGTCAAAAAAGAGTAGCCAAAAAGGAGGGTAATACCAGAAAGACAAAGTAGATATGTAACAAAAAGAACCAAACCTGGTCTATAGATTTCTGACATCGTTTAATTTTCTGTGACCCTCATTTCCTCTTCTAAAACTCACGCACCCACTCCTGACTGAGAATCCTTGCTTCATCCCATCAGAGAGAATGAGGACTCACTTCCTGACTTTAAATGAGCGTAAGAAGCAGCATGACTTCCCACATGCCTTGCTGGGGAGTAGATGCACAGAGGTTTCCCAAAGGCACCAGGTTGGCTTGAGCAGAATGGTGGGCCAATCCCACATGCCTTGCTGGGGAGTAGATGCATAGAGGTTGCTACGGCTCCCACGGGTTTCCCAAAGGCATCAGGTTGGCTTGAGCAGAATGGTGGGCCAGCTAGGCCCTTGGTCAGATCTGGCAAGGCCTGTCAGAAAGCAAATAAAGAAAACACAGGAGTTCTACTGAAGCCCACGTCCTGTTTACACATAACCAGGATCTTTACATGCAAAACACACAAACGCTCCTGCCGAGCAAGGAACCAATGAAATAATTGAGGTCTCCGTGCACTCCTTTCAGATTGAGGTTCCTCTTCTCGTCCTCACTGGAAACAGCGAAATGTGTCATGGCCACTACTGTGGGTGGGATGGAAGGGAAACCAAGCTGCTATACGGAGCATGTAAGAGAAAAGCAAAAAACCAAAAGCAGCCAGATGACAAAGTAAGCCAAACACTTGCAAATGCTCTTATGACACAATGAAAGTGCTTTTCTAAACACTTACAGACTCCATCTGTTGGACATACAGACACACCCTCATCTATACAAACAGGGAACACCCTCAGCTGCTCATACCATGCAACCCAATTGAGGTTGTTTAGAGAGGGGAAAAACAGAGCTTCCACCTTTTATCAGGACAGTCTATAGATTAATCAGCTAATGTCTTTAAAGTTGATTAATGGGTGCGAGTGAAAAGAAGACTGGAAATTAAAGGATGCTTCTGTTCTATGAGGCTATGTAAGTACTGCAGTAAACAGGGAATGATGAAAGAAAATTAAAACAAGACATTCCTGTTTCTAATGTCTGTATAAATTGCTTGGTTAAGATGTAAACAATCACATATCCTTCTGAATTCCAGCTAATAATTTTCAGGATCTAAAATTAAAATGTGGGATGAAAATCAGATTGATAATTCTTTATCATTCTGCACCCATAGACCACAGCTGGACAAACTGTTCCCCTTCAGATGTTTTTGGACTGGAATTCCCAGGATCCCTCGTCATTGACTATCATGGCTGAGAGTTGATTGGAATGGCAGCACAACAGCATCTAGATGTCCACAGAGGTATGCCACTGCCTCTGGGGCAATGAAGACACTGAGAGCCAATTTTTTAACACCACACAGTAACTAAGAGTATATCTGCATATTTTTAAAGTGAGCAAGCAGATTCTCCTAAACCAAGGAAGCAGACTTTAAGAAAGTCTGTTTGAAAAGCAGCACCTTCTCACAAAAAAGCCCCCACGCCCAAGCTTGCTTTATTGCAGTTTTTAAAAATGCAATTCTTATGCAAAGACTCCCCACTCTCCTACACAAGACAATCCATTCCATTTGAAAATCAAAGATTTTCTGCCAGCACGACTAACCAGGAAAAGGAACAGGACTGTTGAACCAGATATAAGAGAAGATTATTGTGCTTTTAAACATTTTTCTGTGCAGAACGGAGATTTTGAAAAACTTTAGGTAGTATACTGTATTTGAGAATTAGTTTCATTGGGTCTTTTTTTATATATATATTCAGTTATAAAACACAAGTTAGGTACATATTCTTAACAAAAACAGAAAGCTAAAGAAAGTGTGTTTATTTCTTCCTGCCTCTTTTGGCATGAAAGCGGGGCAGCCACTAAAACACCCTTTTCAACAGCAGCACAGAGTCACTTTACATATCGGTAACAGTCTTCCCATACTAGAGTTGCCAACCTGTTCTGCCCCTGTGCTTTAAGCAGCTCTGTGAAGGCAGAAATTCAACAGGAAAGGAACATCCTGGAACAAAGGCAACAGTCCTCTAAATGCGTTACTAGGTGAAGAAAAGCAGCTGATCCAAAGCACAGGAATGGTGTCAAAACATCACAGGTGTGGGCAGCCTAAGGCCCTAAGCAATGCAGATTCAACCCCCTCTGTTCTTTGATCTGGAGTCTTCCTTGGCCCCCCAAACCTTTTTCTTGCTTTCCTTCCAGAGATATTCTTTCACAGGCCTTTCTAATCTGGAGGAATTTGGTTGGGCCAAGTCTGGAAGGTCTTCGCACCTTTTCTACCTCACCTGGGCGCTCCATGCAGAGAGAGGTGATGAAAAGGAGGCTCCCCTAGAAGGTCAATGGCACGCAAAGCCGAGAGCTTTGGGGCAGCCCTCCTGGTCGCATTGGGTAACAACCAGGTATCATCCCCCCAAAAAAGTGCTCTGGGACCTGCCCTGGCCTAAGGCAAGTCTCCCACCGACCCCCACCTTTGCCCACCTGAGACAGGTGAGCAAGTGGGGAAAACTGGGAGAGGTAGGCAAACAGAACAATGGCTGGACTTGGGTTGGGGGGGGGAGAGGAGTCGTTGTTGAACACCTGTTGATGTTTCCAAACTGAGGATTCAAACTCGCAGAATCCTCAGTTTGGAAACATCGACAGGTGTTCTGTTTGCCTACCTCTCCCAGTTTTCCCCACTTGCTCACCAGTCTCAGGTAGGGAGAGGCGGCAGAAATATATATATTTTTCCACGCTTCAGAGAACGGCCATATATTGCGGATGTCCGTCAACCGGACTGCGTCCAAATGCCCTCACAAGCGTGCGCGCGTACCCACAAACAAACAAACACAGAGACGCGCACTCTTTCTTTAAGGCCGACTCCAAACAGGCACTATCCGCCACGCCACAGGCTCTCTTGCAGAAAGAGAGAGAAAGAAATGAACTCCAAAAGCCAAAATCCGGCAGCGCGACCCTGCACTGCTTGGCAGCCTCCCCACACACACACACACACACACACACTTTCCCAGCTTTCTCCCATATGCTCTCTTTCCAAAAGAAAAGAAAGCAATAAGCACCCCAAAAACTTCCTGCCGCCAGCAGAGTAAAAGGAGGAGGAAGCCCTCTTACCTGAGCCCAGGTGGCTTCCTTTGGCTCTCGCGCGCTCTCTCCTGCAAGACCGAGCAGGAGGGAAGCTGTGGCCGCCACCCTGAGGCGGCAGGAGAATCCGGAACCTCCTCGCCTCTCGCCCAGGAGAGAGAGGGAGGGAGAGACGCCGGCTCTTGGGAGGCCGCCTCTCCCGCCTCCAACCTCCTCGCCTCTCGCCCAGGAGAGAGAGAGGGAGAGACGCCAGCTCTTGGGAGGCCGCCTCTCCCGCCTCCGCCTCCCACGGCGGCGGGTCTCGCCTTTTCTCAAAGGGCGCCGAGAGCTCCGGAGGCGCCGACGACGACGACGACGACCGCCCCAAAGGAAACGCGCGCCTCTCGCCTCCATGAGGCAGCGACTCGAGCCTGAGAGGGGCGGCGGAGTGTGTGTGTGTGTGGGGGGGTGTCCTTTCCTTTCGGAGGGTGGCCTGGGGCTGAGGCAGTCTGCGGGCCAAACCTCGGCCGGGTGGCCCCCTGGGCAAGAGGGAGCAAGGCTCCTCGACCTCGAGTCACTTTGTGAAAGAAGGGGGAGGCCCTGCGCGCTGGACAAGCCGGGGCTGCTGAAAAGGGTCCTTGAAGATGCGCGAGAGGGGGGTGGTTCCCGGCCCTTGACCTTCATGTGGCCACCCTGTTAAAAACAATAACTGACCAGAGACTGGCAGCCCCAAATTAACCTTAAAGCAAAATAAGCACATGCTTAGGGCATCAGCAAGGGAAGGGGGCGCCCCAGAAGTTTTTTTTTTTTCAGTGCTGGATATACCAGGGTGAAGGGAAAGGTTCCCCTTGACATTTAGTCCAGTCGCGTCCGACTCTAGGGCGCAGTGCTCATCGCCGTCTCCAAGCCATAGAGCCAGCGTTTTGTCCGTAGACAGTTTCCATGGTCACGTGGCCAGCACGACTAGACACAGAACGCCCTTACCTTCCCACCGAGGTGGTACCTATTTATCTACTTGCATTTGCATGCTTTAACTGCTAGGTTGGCAGGAGCTGGGACAAGCAACGGGGGCTCACTCCGTCGCATGGATTCGATCTTACAACTGCAGGTCTTCTGACCTTGCAGCACAGAGGCTTCTGTGGTTTAACCCGAAGTGCCACCCGAAGCTCCCTACCAGGGAGCACGGTGCAAATGGCGCACCCTGCTTGACAAACTGCAGCCATCCCTCTAGATCCCGCGGCTCTGTCTCTCAAGTGCCCCAGAAAACCATCTTCCTGCCCAAAAGCAACTGATTAAAAACTAACAAAGACAAAGACTGGCCTAGCGAGAAAACTCATGTTTTTAGTGAAATGATCAATCCTTATCATAATTGCTTGGTGTTTTTATTTTATTTATACTTCTGTCTTTTGAGAGGTTGGATGGAGATAAGGAGAAAAGACACTGGTCTTTTAGACCTATGGCCCCTGCACAATATGGGCAAGCCAAGAAGTAACAGCCCCAAAGGGGATTGAAGCTTTTGTTTGAGCTTTTCAGTTTACAGCTTCTGACAAAATCTGTTTACATTCATCAAAGCGTGCAAGCACAAGATCTGACTGGAAGCTGGTAATTTGATTGGGCATACATATGATTTTGCATACAATACATGGTTCATTTTTGCTACATGCTATACCAGGGTTCTTCAAACAAGGGCTGCGGGCCGGATCCGACCTGCCTTGCCTTTTTATCTGGCCTGGCAAACGCAGTAGGCTCACGTTCATTCCCGTCAGCCCATACGTGTGTCTGTGCGTGCATACGTGCGTGTTCCTTTGGCCCCTGAACATTTGTAAAACATATGATGTGGCCCTCATGCTGAAAAGTTTGGAGACCCCTGTGCTATACCATTACATTTCTATATTTTCATGCATATAATGTGTGCCGTGGGACCTGCTGTATGTTATATTTGTAGGGGGCACCATAATCTTTTCAATGCTTAGGACCTCTAAAGACTTTAATATCCAGCCCAAGAGGCTGGGCAGAGTTGACGGACATTCCCTGCACCCTCACCCTTTCATCCATAAAAGAGTTCTACTGTACTGTATTCTCAAAGAGAATGTATTCTCAAAGAGGCTGAGGGCAAAACATTTGTTTATTAAATTCTCAGATTTTATTCTCGTTACCTAACCCAACACCCCCACATTTCCTTCAGTGATCTCGATGTGACATAGATTGCATTCTTCTCCTCATCTCCACTTCTTCACAACAATTCTATGAGGTAGGTGAGCCTGAGATAGGGACTGGCCTGAGGTCACCCAGTGAGTTGCCTGTGTGGGAATGCATGAAAAAAAAAAGAATACATTTCAAGCAGTTTATCTTCTCTTGAAAATCACATCTTCCAAATTTTCTTTTCCACACAACACTCTGAGGTGCTCCCACAGATACGCAAATGGGAGGCATGAAGGCCTGATCCAAACAGGAACTCAGTCTCGGTGAGGTTCCTACGCTTTCCATGTTGGTGGGACAGAAGTCAAATTGGGATCTATGCAAGATAGCTGTACGAGTAGGGTCTCTTGTGAGAATCAAACCAGACCATGGAATAGACCTGAAGTAAAATCATCCCATTTCACATCTGACTCCACATTCCATGGCTGCATCTAATCTGGAATCAAAGGACTGTGTCAGTCCAGAACGAGGGAGCCTGTGGCCCTCCAGGTGTTAATATATTACCATAGTGTCAGTCCAGAACGAGGGAGCCTGTGGCCCTCCAGGTGTTAATAGGCTGTTGCTCTATCAGCCCCAATAACCTGACGAATGAGTTGTTACTTTTAGTTTAAATCAAATAAATAAATAAATAAATAGGCCGTTGCTCTATCAGCCCCAGTAGCCTGACGAATGAGTTGTTATTTTAACAATGTCTCAAACAACGTACCTTCTCATTTTCCGCACCGCTGGGCAGGGCTCTGCCTGTCTCACACGCGATTTCACCCCTGCGTGTGCGTGCAACTCCACCACCACCACCCACCTGTGTGCAGGGTTCCGTCGCAACCAGAACCAAAGGAGTTAAACACAATCGCTGCGTGGAGGAGGAAGAAAGCTGTGCAGAGGGAGGTGGAGTCATGCGCACCCGCGCGTGTGTCCAGCTTAGAGGGAATCTTGGTCAAGATGATGACAAGTTTCTGAGCCCTGCTTCAAATTACGATGTAACTGTTAAAGCAGTCCAACAAACTATGTACAAATTAAAAAAACACAAGCATTCCAAATGCTGATGTTGGGACTTTTGTGCAGATTTCTTTAGTAGGACCAGGGCTCTAATTAGGACAGGACAACTGGGCATCAAAATGTAAAGTGCATTGTAATCTAGTCGTGAACTAAGTGAGTGTTAGGAAAATAAACAGCAATGTCTCCTGGCCCTATCCATCTACCTACCTTCCTGCTGTCCCTCCCTCCTTCCTCCCTTCGCTTCCCTACACAAGTCTCCCCATAACACGTTGGTCAGGCTGAGAGAAAATGACTAGCCAAAGGTCACTTCACTTCATGATGCAGTGGGAATGAGAACTAGGACCTCACGACAATTCTGATCCCATACTACCACACTGTGTTGCAAAACAGACCAAAAAATGTTGGCAACATTTTGATATGTCTCCTTTATCTACCACTAGAGGTCAGCCTTCATCAGACAGCCCAGGTGATCGTTTTAGCCCAGGTAAATCCAGAAAGGAGGTTTCTCTGTGTGTCTCTTTTCTAAACCCGAAGAATCCAAAACGCAGCAGCATTTGGCCACCTCCTCAGGATCACCTACAGTTTTAAGTACGTAAGTGGAAGAGTGATTAGTAAAGGAGGTAGAATGCCAGGAATGGACCCATAGCCAGCCAAGTGAGAATGTGCTGTCTTTGTGACTGAGAACACTGACTTTTACAATGTGTTTTTTAAAGCTTTTTTCCTAAGTGCCCAATGTATAGAATTTTCTGTTAACCCATAAAATAATAACTACATGCCTTCAAGTCAATTCTGACTTATGGCAACCCTTTCTAGAGTTTTCTAGGTACGCAGTATTCAGAAATGGTATTCTGTTTCCTCCTTCTGGAGTATTTCAGAGCTGTGTAGCTCGCCTAAGGTTAAACAAGCCAACTCTACTCCTGGAAGACACGGCAGAGAATCAAACTCCCAGCCATGCCTAACCCATTGAACTATTCAGCCACCTAGTTGTGGCATTCCTTACAATTGCTTATGTCTGGTAAGTTAATTATTGTTATTATTTCTTCTTCTCCCTCACCCTCACATTGCAGAAGCTGAGATATTGGGATATATCTTAGCCATTAACCTGGCCAGATTCTAGCTTAGCTCAAAGCACCTGCTCTCACCCTTGAATTACATCAGCTCCCTACAGTATGTCAAGGCCAACCTCTGCTGAGAAGTTACAGAATCATAGAATTACAGAGCTGGAAGGAATCTTAAGGGTCACCAAGTCCAATGCATGCCAAACATCTGTTTCTGACAGGCAGTCATCGAAAGCTCTGTTTGAGGAAGCCCATTCCATTGTCAAAGACCTCTTAGTGTCAAGAAGTTCTTCCGATATTTAGATAAAATCTCTTTTCTCACACATTCAATCCATTACTTTAGGTCCTACTTTCTAGAGCTACAGAAAACAAGTTTGCTCTGCCTTCTACGTCACAGCCCTTTAGATATTTGAAGATGGCTATCATATTGCCTTCTGCCCTCCAGGCTAAACACAGTCAGTTTCCTTCAGCTGATTCTCATAAGGCTTGGTTTCCAGAACTGTTACCAACTTGGTCATCATCCTCTGGACATGTTCCAGTTTGTCTATCTCCTTCTTAAACGGTGGTGCCCAGAACTAGACACAATATTCCAACTGAGGTCTGACCAAAGAAGAAGAGAGGGGTGTTATCTCTCTTGATCTGGACCCTGTACTTCTGTTGATGCAACCATGTATTTGCATTTGCTTAGTTTGCCACCACATCATAACACTGATTAATGCTATGCTTCTGGTAGCTGTCGACTATCTTCTCCATGTGCATCTGTTTTTTCCTCCCTAAGAACAGATATGTGAAGAACATAACTGTGATGAATGTCCTCTTTAGCCTACTTTACATTAATCAGGTCTCAATACAAGGAAATGACTTCAATGCCCTGGTAAAGCACTCACCTGGCATGCAGAACACAATACATACACACTCACACCAGTTCTACATGCTCTGTGAAAAGAGTGAAGTCAAATTATCACTTGTTACATGAAAATATCAATGCAATGTTGTTGTACTGTCAATATTGGAGAAAGAAGTTTATTACTAGTTATTTGTAACCAGTTACTTCTAGAAATTGAAAAGTAACTTTTTGGACTCCATCTCCAGCCACTGAGATTATGCAAATAGCAATAAAAAATAACTTTTCCAAGCTCAGATTGGATATAGCCAAGGCTCTTCTGACTCCTAAAGTGCCCCCATTCTTCACTTAAAAGAGAAGTGTTTGCAGTTGCTTTGAGAACTCTCTTGGCAGAACTACAGCCAGGTATTTGGCACTTGTTGTTGAAGCATTTGTGAACATAATAATTCAACTTTCAGCCACTGAAGAGGACGATGGGGGTCGACAACAAAGCCACCCCTCTCCCTCTTAGGAAACAGTACTTGCCAGTCACTAAATAATTTACAATCACCTCCCTTGCTTGTTGTACTTGAACAGAGGAAGCTGTCTGTTCTTAAGCCAGGTTATTTGTCCAGCTAGCCTATTGCTGATTCCATCCTTCTTACTGTCTCAGATCTAAGGTACTCCCCCCCCATCATGGTACACTGAAAGTTTTCATGGTGCACCTGCTAATATCAGACCAACATTGTGTACCAGCATAGTACCTAACAAAACAACACTAGACAGAGCTCAGAAAAGTTATTTTGGGAACTATAACATGGTGGCTGGGGAATTCCGGGAGTTGTAGTAAAAATGCAACACACACACACTAGTAGCAAGCAGTTATACCTTTTCCTTCAGAAGCGATCCTGTCCACCCTGGAATTAGAAAAAAAAACATTCATATTTTGAAAGAAAGATCAGAATTGGGGAGAAGTTTGTTGTTGCAAACCAGAAAATGACCATATGTTTTATTCAACAAATCTGTTTTACCGTTTGGCTGGATTTATTGACATCAGTGTTCTTCCACCTAAGATGCTTTCTTCAAAACAATGGCTTCATCTTATGCATTGGTTTATTCATGATACATAAAACTACATTTTGGAGTGGGAAAGAAAGTCAAATAATTTCCTCCTCTATTTCTTCATTTTCATGTATAATCCAAGGCCTATTGTAGAAACAGATTGTTTGTAACATGTATGCTTTTTCCACCAAGCCCAAGATAACTCTATTCTCTTTCCACAGTTTGCAAATAATTATTTTAAATCATTTTATTTGTTTACTAAAGTTTGAATACAATCTCTCTTCATGTGCAGTTTCGGAAAACACCCATTTCTGTATATTTTCAATTAACACTTTTTGTATGTTTAATTTCCCTGGTTGTACGCACTAAAAAAAAAATCTAACAACTGTGCTGCAGACTAGAAACCTGAGAAAACCTTTCTAGTTCATATGTGAATTTGAGACGTGAACATATCTCTGCTTTTTATCAAAATGCAAAATAAATGAATCTGCCATCCCTTACTGATAGGTGTGCATGACTCATAACTCAGTTTCAATGAGTTTAATGGGACTTACTCCTAAACAGGTTTGTATTGGATTGAAACCTTAGACTACAGTCTATATCTATACACCTGTGGAGCTGAACTCAGTGGGACTTCAAAGTAGACGCACATAGGATTGCACTGTTTAGCATGTAAAAGAAGAGAGATAGTTTCTGCTTATATGGGAAGGAAGAGCTCGGGTGTGTCTGTATCATAGGCCTTTGATCTCTATAACCCCCAAAGCCTGTTATAAACTTCTAAAACTCAACAGGGGGTGATCTGGGTTACAGGAGTGCAAGTGGTTCCCACACTTCTTTTCTCTTTCGAGAAGGGCTGTCCTGGGATCAACCTTTCATCTATCAAAGCTGCGAATGAATTGATCTTCCACAAATGTTTACAGCAGGCTGGAACCAGGCTGGATTAAGGGGCTCTAGCTGAATTATCCACCCAGCTATGGCAAGCAAGAGGCCATTCCATTGAGAGGACATGAGGGATAAGCAGCATTTAAAGATAGCTACGTATAGATGACCAACTTCTAGTCTATAAAGCCATACCCAACCCCTAGGCCAGGGATTTGGGGTTTGATAGACAATGGCCAGTATTCTGTTCATGTGTTCATAACATAAAGTTATGTCAGTGTAAATTTCGCAGGCTTTATGCCAGGCAACAAGGAACTGTGCTATGGAATTGTGCAATTGGCCATACACACGCAGCAGCACTGATTGCACAATACACCACTAGATGTACTTCAGAGATAGCACTTCCACTTCGGTACCAGCCCAACTACCATATACACAACTTTGAGTTGCATGTGTGTAGTTGCCCAATTGGATTTTTGGTTCTTAAGAAACTGTGCATTTGGGCTATCCCAATTGGATTTTTGGTTCTTAAGAAACTGCATTGGGCTATTTGCCCCAGACTGCAGTTCCCATCATCCTTAACCCAGATAGTCATGCTAGCATGGTGGCAGCTGAAGTCCCACACATTTGGAGGATTCCATTTGGATATGCCATATTAGGCAAAGCTGGTCTAAGGAATGGGGCTAGTCGTCTTCCACTTCCAATCTGGCTAGTACCTCTCCTGCTATTAAGTAAGATAAAACAAAGAAAACGGAGCTCTCACACAGTGTTGTAACACTAAACAGCGCCAAAAACAGAGCCAAAGAGCTTACTATAGAGCAGTGGTTCTCAACCTTTGGTACCCTAGGTGTTCCTGGACTGCAATTCCCAGAAGCCATCACCACTAGCTGTGTTGGCTGGGGTTTCTGGGAGTTGCAGTCCAAGAACATCTGAGTTACCCAAGGTTTATTTATTTAACTTATATGCCACCCACACTACCCAAAGGTCTCTGGGTGGCTTACAACAATTTAAATGTGTTAAAAAGATAAAACAATCAAAATACAGTTAAAATATATTCCCTAAAAATTGCCATCACGACCCACAGAGGATATTATTTCAATTAAAAGCCTTTTGGAACAGGAATATTTTAACCTGGTGCTGAAATGTCATCAGCGTCGGTGCCAGACGGATCTCAGTCCAGAGGGCAATCCATAGTCTGAGGGCAGCTGCCGAAAAGGCCCTTTGTCCACAGGCCATCCCTCTTACCTCCTTGAGGGACAGCTCCTTCAGGAGGGCCCCTTGGCTAGATCTTAAATGCCAGGTAGGTTCATATGGAAGGAGGCGGTCCTTCAGGTATCCAGGGCCCAAGCCATTTAGGGCTTTCTACGTCAAAACAAGCAATGAATTGGACCCAGGCAGTGACTGGTTGGAATCCACTGCTCTAGAGTTCCTGAACAGCTCAAACATTCAACCACTACTCTTAAGTTTGGAACAAATCATGACTACAAGTGTCTTCATTGGAGCAGAAAAGTAGGTAATGGCATGCAGAGTGCTTTACCCCTACAATGTGCTTCAATTTCTGCCAGCATTGTCAGTGTGAGGAATAATGGCAGCTGGATCTTGGGCATCAGGTTGAGGAAGGCAAGGTAATCAGATACAGAGAAGACAAAGAGAAAGAGGGAGCCAGAATTGTAGGAGAACCAAGTCTTGTACAGTGACAAGCCCAAGGTGAGGTGTTTTTTTTTGGCTCATGAAGGACTAGAAGTTAAATCTCTCCAGTCCCCGTTGTCCAACAGCGTAATGACTACACCTACATAGGCTGCACAAGGCATCATGATCAAAAGGAGGCAACAGCATCCAGAATTCCTACAGCCCAGTCTTAATCTGACTTGTTCTCTTCTATAAAAACAAAGGCACATTATTTGGCCATGTCTACCACAATGTAGTGGTGGCGCTGCGGGTTAAACTGCAAATCGTCTGGACTTCAAGGTCGTAAGATCAGCAGTTCGAATCCATGTGACGGAGTGAGCTCCCGTTGCTTGCCTCAGCTCCTGCCAACCTAGCAGTTCAAAAACCATGAAAAATGAAAGTAAATAAATAGGTACCACCATAGTGGGAAGGTGTGCAATTGGCCATACACGTCGCACTGGCCACGTGACCATGGACACTGTCATGCGCTGGCCACGTGACCATGGACACTGTCACTGGATAAACACTGGCTCTACGGCTTGGAGACAGGGATGGGCACCATCCCCTAGAGTCAGACACAACTGGACAATTTGTTATGGGGAACCTTTACCTTACCAGAATGTCACAGAAACTGCATCCTCAATGAGTAAGACAGGAAATAGACCCTGTTGTAACAGGACAAAAGAAGATGCTAGTTTTTTAAAGATGACTGGGAAAAATACTAGATACTCAGGCTTCCAAGAGCCTGAACTTCAGAATTTTGACATGAACTGTGAAGCATTTTCCCCGGTTTAATTTTCATGCAGTCAAAGCTAGTGCACAATATGCATTATGAATGAAAAAAGTAAGTTCTTTGAGTTCACACCCAGAGTTTAACCCATAGGTCTATCCTTCTTAAAAGGCTTGTATTTTTGGTGGAAGGAAAGCATATCCCAGGAGAGGGATTTCCCCCCAAGATGGATGCCCTGGGTCCCAACAAAGGAAAGCATATCCCAGGAGAGGGATTTCCCTGGGTCCCAACAGAAACAACAACAAAGAAACCTTCAAAGACTCCAAAAGAGAAAGTCAACATCATATATCCAGTGCTGAGACTTGTGTGATGTGGTGGTCTGAGTCTATTTCATAGCGATAGTGGTATTCATCCATCAAATTGTGGCAGGCATCTCTCATAGCGTTCATCCACGTTTTGATGCCCTTCCGATTCAGGTAGAGCACAAGGAGGAAGATGATTCCAATGACTCCTAGGACCATACCTAAGGCAACGTAGGAGGTCTGAAGTGCGTTTTCTCCATGTTGGCTGAAGTGGCACTCCAGATCTGGCCCTGCCAGCTCCACCAGGGAGGTGTTCTTCAGATCGCGAGGAAAGGCACAGGCAAGTTTTTCCACATCTCCTACCTGCTGGCTTTGGTTGAGCCAGCTGACCAGGTCTTCAAGGTCACAATCACACACAAAAGGATTGCCCTTCAGGAAGAGGTGGAGACGGAGTTGCCTACCAAGAATAGTTAATGCTTCACTCCTCAGGGTCTTGAAGGCATTCATGGTCAAGTCAAGGTACTTCAGGTCAAGACCAGCAAAGGTGGAGTTTTTAATGTCCACCAGGGAGTTGTTCCTCAGGTCTAAATGCTCCAGCTTGGTGAGGCCCGATAACATGCCCAGAGGCAAGTAGACAATCTGATTGCTGGTGAGCTCTAGCCTAGAGAGGTTCTGGAAGCCACCTTGAGCAAGGACAGCTGCCAGAGGGAGAATGGCAGAGGAGTTGTAAAGTGAGTGGCTAAGGTTTAATTCCTGGATGGAGTTGTTTCTAACATTAAAAGCATCAGGATGGATGGTGGTCAACTGGTTATGACTCAGATCCAAGTAACGCAAGGTCTGGAGAGTAGAGAATGCTTGCGACTCCACAGTGTTGATCCTGAAGATAAAAAAACAGATCAGACATCCATCATTCAATAATAACACCATATGAAGATGGTTTCCGTAACTATTGTGTACGGAGTGCTAAGGCTTAGAGCTTGGAAATGACATGTTAATTTTAACACGTTGCCATTAAATGTGTTGCTTCTTTAGCCAAAATGGCATCAATAAATGCACTGTTATGAAAATAGGTTTTACGTGTAACATTAATGTTAAACATTATATGTGGTTGCTTATTTCCTTCATGAGAAAAATAAATGCCCACCCACTTTTAATAAGAAACTGTTATTTTCTCACTTAAATGTTAAGTGTTCTGGGATTACTGTTCTCAAGAGCTCCAGTCAATGCAGACAATGGGCAAGCCTCTGGATGTATAAATCTTTTATAACTTTTATATACTGTATGTCAAAGTGGATAAAGGCTCTTAAATTTGCACAGATGTAGTGCTATTGGTAGTGCTAAGGTCCTAGGTTTTAGCCTGACTGGTCTTTCCCATCTTCATAGTTTTTAAACTTGTTAGATCTCTATTAGCTATCATCTCCAACTGAACCCTTACACCAGACCTGGGCAAAGTGCGGCCCGGGGGCCACATACGGCCCGTGAGCTGCTCCTGTCCGGCCCGCGGACAGTTTTTAACATCAAAACCATTTATAGCTTTTTGTCTAAAGTTGATCAGTTGCTTATCTTTAACATACCGCAAAAAAACCTCTTTAGTATTTGTGAAGATTAGCAAGTTTAAAATAAAAACAATCCTAACATCACTGTTTCATTTTATTTTTAAGTAAAGTTGGTTCAGCCCCCGAACACAGTTCAGATTTTTCATGTGCCCCCCTATAGAAATTAATTGCCCACCCCACCTTACACTGTAGCATTTGGCTATTTTTTTAAAAGAAGTGTTAGACTGAAGGTAACAGATTAAAAAAACGAATAAGGAATATGCCACTAAGAATCAACAGTGAAAAATACCACATTTTATTTTAGAACTGACAATTTAAACAGTAAATTAATGATGCTAATTCCACGGTTTTAGTATTTTCTGTATTTAATCTCAATAGCAACAAGTTAATTTTCAAGTTTCTGATGTTCAGCACTAACAAATTAATTTTCAATCCTAATATTCCAAGCTCTGCCATAAGGAGGAGAGAGAATAATAATCTGTAAACAAACCGACTTAGCATATCTTGGATTCATATTGTTATCCTTGAGATTGCACATTTCTCCAAATGGTGCTGCTAATGTCATTGTTATGTGCTGTCAGGTTGCCTCCAATTTATGGCAACCCTATGAGAGAACTCCAACATGTCCTGTCCTCAATAGCCCTGCTCAGATCTTCGAGGCTCAAAGCTGTGGCTTCTTTAGGGAGTCAATTCATCTCACATTTGGGCTTCCTCTTTATCTGCTGCCCTCAACCTTTCCTAGTACAGTATTATTGTCTTCTCCAGAGAATCTTGCCTTCTCATGACGTGCCCGAAGTAAGAACACCAAATACTGTGTGCAAAAAAAGCACGTACTCAGAAAAAGCCATAGTTAGGCAATAGTGTGCACAAAAAGAAATGGAAGTTGTTATGTGGCTTAAAAAACCCAGAGGATTGTGCAGAACTTTACAGACTTTCTGTAAAACTACTAGGGACAGAATTCAGCTTGTTTTCATGCACCCCTGTTGAGCACTGAAGCCAAGACAATAAACAGAAGCGCCAGTGAACTCTAGTGCAGGCAGAGGAACGGCAGTAGCTGAGTGGAGAAGACACCACATGCATTCACTGGCAAATTTAAGTGAAAGGATGAGGAATTTAAAAGGATGGGGCAACTGGTGATGACAAAGATCTCTGCCAGGAGAAATCCTGCCAGTCCAAATAGATAATACTGGGGTAGATCACTTCAAATACCCAGTATGCTGTCATGGATGGGGTGATGAACTAGAACACAGCAGATCTCAGTTGAAATCCCTGCTCAGCCATGGAAGCTCACCATGAGGAGGGTGGACCTGGTAAAACCTCTCCTTATATATCTAACTTACAACAAAAGCTCTAATAGAGTCACTATTGATTGGGTTCTGACTTGATGGCACATAATGGATAACAGAAGGGAATTGTTACTTTCGGTGACTCAGAATGTCCCAACCGACATGAGCACTGTCTGTGTTGCTCGGATATTCTAGGAGCTGTACTTCAGATAATAACTTTTCCATTTTCTGGAGCAGATGACAATGGATTTGACCCAGTATAAGGCAGTTTCCTAGGGTATGACTGAGCTTTATCTCTACGCGCACATATAAGGTTCTGAATGCAGCCACAATCAGAGCGACCTTTTCATATTTTCCCATAACTGTCATTGTGGTAAACAATATATGTGCCAAACTCAGAGACAGTCTTCCTATTGTAATGATTAAGCGTCATGGTAGAATTCTGGATTGTTCCACTTCGGACTGCCAAGTGTTTCCGGAAGCTTCCTCGCAGGTAACCTTTCTTCCTGTAGTAAATTCATACAGAGGGGAAGATGCTAAGCTAAATGTTTCTCCATGTTAAGTCACCTTTAATTTTTTAAAAAATCAAGCAAAGTGTTCTTTATGTAGAAGAACATTTTAAAAAATGTGTCCTAAGAAGCTGAAGGCATATAGTCTAGAATGTGAGTATGCTTAGTGTTAGGATAACAGCACTACTGAAATTACAAAATATTTTCATGTGGGTAGGTAACTATTTGTATTTAAAGACCATCTTCACCTTCACTTCCCATACCAGTGAAACTGGGCTGTAATCAAGTTATTTTAATATTAAAAATCGCTCACTTATTCTGCTCTAGCAGACACAATACAATGTCATTAATTCTTTAGGATACTTTAAGTTTTTAAAAGCAGAAATCACTCTTTGTCAGAAGAATTTAATCTGGTATTATAGACCAGCATTACTTCTCAAGACTGCCCGTTCAGGCCATTTGTTTTTGACTTGATTTATTTCAATCTTTCTGTAAGAAAACGGCTTGACTGTTGTTTTTAAGAGGCAACATTAGATACAGTAAGACTATCATTTTTTAAATGAATTCAGGAATGCCAGGAGAGTAACCGCCTCAGTGAATCCATGTTCCTGACAGTTGCATTCTCTTCCATTTGAGGAATACAGCCAGCATTATTAGGAGGCAGAGTGAGGTGCCTGCTATGGAAGAGTCAATCACACCCCAGACTGAAAAGCTTGTCCCCATAATCCCTCTTGCATTCAGTGGGGAAGGCAAGACACACTGTCTGTCCATCATCTTTAATTACAGAAAACAGTATCAAATAATAAAAGCACACATTAATACAAATGTCTAGCAGCTGTACTAAATATTGAATATGAATAAAATGAGCTCCTTCTGAAGGCACATGGTAGTTCGAGATGGTCTAATAAGTAAGGCCACATTCAAAAATTTTACTTTCCATTCATTCACAGACTCTGAAGAAAAATAATACTGTAAGAGACTCAAGTAAGACCTCTGGATCTGCCCTTCTCTGGGTACTGCGGTTCTCCCCAACAGCCCCCTGGACCACTGGAAGTGTATTGGAGGCCCTAGGCTAAGACTGCAAAAACAGATGTGCCACAAGGATGCCTCTCACTCCTGTGCATCACTAACAGGAACGAAAGGGCATCAGCGCATCAGCCCAGCGCTCTGACTGCAGCCTCTGACACACTGGTGTTACCATGGTAATCCCTGTATCATCAAGCCAAAAGGAGCTGCTTATACAAACACAGACCAGGAAATACTAGCTGTGGGAGAATGGTACAGATGATGATGATGATGATGATGATTAAAAACAAGACATAGTCTTTTAATAGTAATATATAAGAGATACACATTTTAACCAAAACCCTAAGTATCAGTTAAGTATAATATGTACATTGTTCCTAATATCACTCTGACGGTGTTATTTCAGAGATCTGTAGCTGATTTTAACATTTTATAAAATTCTGCAATAGTGTTCCCGAGGGTGGCAATGGTGGTGGCAGCAGCGGCAGCAGTAGGTTAATACGAACACAACACATCAAGTCGTCCTGCTTATCTTGCTAGTCACCAAGGCAGGGTATTGGGAAAAGTTTTCAGTTAGCAATAAATGGGTCAACCACCATCCACAAACAAACACACACTCTGCCTTTTTCCAAGGCTGTGGGTGCTTAGGGGTTCCGTGACCATAGGTAAGGTAAAGGTTCCCCTTGACATTTTAGTCAGTCGTGTTCGACTCTAAGGGGCGGTGCTCATCCCCATTTCCAAGCCATAGAGCCAGTGCTTGTCCAAAGACAGTTTCCGTGGTCATATGGCCAGCAAGACTTAGACCCAGAATGCTGTTTACCTTCCCACCGAGGTGGTTCCTATTTATCTACTCGCATTTGCATGCTTTCGAACCGCTAGGATGGCGAGGAGCTGGGACAAAGCAATGGGAGCTCACTCCGTCGCGTGGATTCGATCTTACGACTGCTAGTCTTCTGACCCTGCAGCACACAAAGGCTTCTGCGGTTTAGCCCGCAGCGCCACCACGTCCATGACCATAGTCATTGCACATTTGGCTTGCACTTCAGTGCCCTGAGAATCTTGCCTATTTTGCTGCTCCTTAAGATTAATTATCTAGTCCTTATGGCCTCAAAGAACACTTAAAAATGTGAGCCCCTGAAGGTTAATTGGGAAGTCTACAGAAAGACTGGAAATCCTGAAAACAGTCCAAGAGGCCTCCAATCCCGGGTTAGGAGGGGAAGCGGGGAGGGCAGTTCAGAGTTCTTGGGTAGCGCCTTGTGGCCAGGAGAAGAGGCAGAGATCTCTGTTTAGGCCAAATGCCCACTCAGTGACTCAGTGGCCATGGAAATAGCAGGCATACTGTACACACTCAAAGGCACACGTTGGAAATCGACAAAGATCCAGCAATTGCTCTCATATGCAACCCTGAGATTTGGGCTGAGCACACAATTGTAGGAGGTGGCATGGACTGCACCATTTCAGACTGCAGAGGGAAAGGACAACGACTGCATGCTCCTCTCGCTCTCCCACACACACAGCCCTTGTTGCATGTAAAAAAAACTACTATAAGGGATATTAGTAGTAGAAGAGGGAGATAGAAGCCTGGCTCTTGGTTTCCCCCAGTATCATGCACCCATCCCATCATCTTTTGAAAGAGCTGCTAAGAGAAAGCCTCTCCTATAGTCTGGTTGAACGTTACCTGTTGTTGGCCAAGGAGAGCGTCACAAGATTGGACAATCCCCGGAGGTCCCGGCTACCGACACGGGCAATCTGGTTGCCAGTTATGAAGAGGTTGCGGGTGTATGTGGGAATCCCGACTGGAACCAAAGTCAGCTCCTTCTGAACGCACTTGACAGTCCGAGCCGGTTCGGAGCATTCGCAGGGGACGGGACATAGATGGCAGCTGAGAGGAGCAAGTACCAGGAAGAGGAGACCCCAGCAGCACAGAAATACGCCAGGAGGATCCCAGGGGGTCATTTCCAAAGTGCCTTCAATGATGAAGGATCCTGGTTGATAAAGGGAAAGAGAGCATTAGAACGCATGGCAGTGTACAGCTGAGAAACGCCTGCCTGAGAGCCCTCCTCTGAAACAGCATGTGCAGAACAGAAGATAGTGGTTTGTGATAGTGTAGAGCAGCCGCACCACCATCTACATGGTGCTGTTCAGATGTGCTGGGCTAGAACTCTCATCGTCTCCAGATGTGTTGGACTAGAACGCTCATCTTTCCCCAGAGATCTAATCCATCTGGAGTATCCCAGGTTATGAAATATCGCTGTCTTTCAGTTAACCTACCCCACAGGGTTGGGGGAAGTCTACCACTGCAAAGCAAAGACAGAAAGAGAGACCAGGATGGATGCTACAGCCGAAACCTAGCTGCTTGTCCCAACTACCAGGGAACCACTGAATTGCTGCAGTCGGTTGCCTGCATAAACCACCTTGATTCAATGAATCTATTCTACTTGGGATTATCACTGAATTCAGATCTTTGCCACCTAAACTTTTTTGGACAAGGGACAAGAATGGGAGATGCCATGGTCTTACGCAAAACTGACCTCCGACTGGGACACATGGTCTACAGAAAACCCACCCACACAGACCGGTACCTACACAAAAACTCCAACCACCACCCACAGCAAAAAAGAGGCATAATTAAAACACTGGTAGACCGTGCAAATCGGAACTGTGAAGCTCAGTTTCTCAGCACTGAACTCAACCATCTGAACTGGGCTCTACAGGCAAATGGCTACTCCAAAAATGAAATTAAAAAAGCCATCAAATCAAGAGAACAACACCAAACTGAAGAAGAAAAACAGCCACTCACAAATAAAGTATTTCTGCCATACATCAAAGGGGTCACGGACCGCATGGGGAAACTTTTGAAAAAACACAACCTACAAACAGTATTCAAGCCCACCACAAAAATACAACAAATGTTACGGTCAGCAAAGGACAGAAGGGATCCCCTCACCACTGCAGGAGTATACCGGATACCTTGCAGTTGTGGCCAGGTATATATTGGAACCACAAAATGAAGCATCCACACCAGAATCAAAGAACATGAGAGATACTGCAGACAAAAACAACCAGAAAACTCTGCAGTCGCTGAACATGCCCTAAAACAAATTGGACATGAAATTCTATTTCAAAATACAGAAATACTGGACAACACCAGCAATCATTACATCAGACTGCACAGGGAAGCCATTGAAATCCACAAGCACCAGCAGAACTTCAACAAAAAAGGAAAGTTTGAAACTCAACAAAACTTGGCTCCCAGCTCTCAAAAATACAGCGTACAAAAGGTCAACGAACTCTACCCAGGCACAAGGACTGGGGATCACTACACACAAAAGACCAGCTAATGACACCCATCAATCACAATGACAAAGAATCTCTCCTCTTTATCACAACAATACACCCACAACAAGACACACTAATCACCCATCTCCAGAAAAGGACAAAAGCCTATCTCACAGCCATAAATACTCCACTCCCGAGCCAACTACACCAGAGCACAGAGTGCTGTCCTCTGAAGATGCCGGCCACAGAGACTGGCGAAACGTTAGGAAGAACAACCTTCAGAACACGGCCAAAGAGCCCGAAAAACCCACAACAATTATGTAGTTAAGGTTCCCCCAAAATGCAGCTCATCCCTAGAACCATACATACAGTCACAAATGCGGATGACTGTTGCCACTCAGAATTCATATCCCCCATTGCTTCACTGAAGCTCAAAGTGACACATGGAAGAACAGCCAGGAAATGCCGCATCCGGCCCAAGACTCATTTTTAATGTCAGCAAGGCTGCTAACATCGCACACCTTCGGCGTGTCTGCTGCAGCGGCAAGAGCATCCGTAACACATTATAAAGTCAGTCGTCCTTGCAAACAAGGATGCAAAAGAGGTCAGAATTATTATTCCCACATATTGCAGGATTTAGGAGATGGGAGAAAGACTGCAGCTTGGGGGCAATGCCTTTTTTTTTCTGCTGAAGATCTCAGGTTCAGTTCCCCCACCCCACCCACTTAAATGGACCAGGTGCCAGAGGAAGGAAAAAGCTCTGTTCTGCCAGAGAGCCACTACTGGGGAAAGCAAACAATGCAGGACCGGTTCACCACCCTCTGTGCCCAAGACAGCGCCCTCCTGGAGTATCAGATGGTGACTTCCATCACCCCACAGGTGGCTACGGTGATGCAACAGATCCAGAGGGTGCAGGTTGTGGATGGCTGAGCTAAACTAATCCTGGCTGCTTAAAGCAGCTTCCTACACCCTTTCTCAGGTCACCTGCTAAGCTGGTGACCGGGGGGGTGGTGGGTCTTCTTGTTTGATTTTTTTTCTCTTCCTCTTGCAGCCACTGATCCAAGACTCCCACTCAAGCCGGAGGTTTGTCCCCAAGTAAAAGGAAGTAAAAATGACTTTATCAGTCATTATCAACTCAATGTCAGTAAAACATCCTGGCAAAAGGGGAGCTGGTTGATGTGTGCAAGACATCTTTAAAGCACAAACTTCTGAACCTTGGTTAAGAATGCAAGCATTGCCTTAACGTCCTCCGATGCTCTCACAATGCACGGACACAGTAGTCAATCTCTGGCCTGCTCTACTTGCTATACATTGGCCTGTGCTGCCTCAAGGCTACACTTTGAAGTATTCCCTGCAAGCAGAAAGCCAGCTCAGCAGGAAAGTGGGCTGGGCTGAAAATTATTCTCCCTATTGTGACAAGTATTTTTCTTAAGTATAGATTGTGTCCACTTCTCCAGATAATCCATTTGTTTTTACTCGTATAATCTAATGCTATCAATTCAGGATTCTCGCACCTAAATCCGTTGTAAACCGTGCACGCCTCCCTGCCCAGTGTGTCCTCACACATGGTGTGCCAACGGTCATTTAATACGCTCATGTTCTCAACTGCCAGTACAAATCACACTAAAGGCAAGTAATTAATGGCAATAAAATCCAAGGCAGCATTCCGAATTATAAAAGATAGGTGGAGATGCATTAAAGGCAGCATGCAGCCAGCACTCGCAGTTAAGATCTTGCCCCCACAGCCAAAATCAGGAAAAGTCTGTGGGGTCGCCACGAACCACTCACTTTAAAAACCAGACTCCCCCGTGTCTCAGATGCACGCGTGGGGGGATCCTGCCACCCGCGGGTCCCGTCCCCTCCCATGCCACCCAACCCGCAAGATTCTGGACCAAGCAGACAAGTAGAAATCGGATGCCTTCGCGCATCTCTCCATCACTGCTACGCACAAACATTTCCCCTAAAGTTGCACCTTTTTCTCCTTCCCTGGGCAAGTTGAGGTCGCCTCCGCTGCTTGATCAAACAGCACCCGTATCGCAAGGGATTTCACCCGAGAGAGATCTATAAATTCAGATCGCTAGTTCTGTAAGTTCTTTGGGGCCAGATCCGTCTCTTTCTCCTCCCGAAGGCTGCGATCTGGCGACCCACACAATGGGATGAAATAAATTCAAAGACAAAATCGGGGGCGGGGTTAGCCGCGTGTGTGGGGGGGACGGTGGACCTCCCACTTGCCCGGCCGTCGG